TTGAGCTGTGATCTAGCCCGTTGTTGTAGGGGAGTTTGCCTATTCCTACGTTATGGATTGCTAAGGGTTTCGGATACTAAAAAATAGTCTATTGCTGAGCTTGTTATGTGCTGTGATCAATTTCCTTTCCTAAAGGTGAATCTTTGGGTTTCTGGATAGATTGTTTTGAGTGGTTCTATTACGTGTCTTTCCATCATGAGTGTGATCATTTCCTGAGCTTCGCTTAACTGTATTTCCCCCTCTATCTGTCTGTGATGCAGAAATCTGGTCGATAGAAGGTTCTAACACGGTGTTCCAATCACCTACTAGTAGTAGGTGTTTAAGAGTGTCGCACCTTGCTGAGATACGTTGTATGAATTCTCTTCTCTGAGACAAGTCGTTGGGTGTGTAAGCATTTATTAGCTGAAAGATTTTTTCCTTGTAAGCGAAGATGATTTATATCCATCTACCATTTTCTATATATGTTTGATATTGAATGATGCTGATTTGATTAACTGCTCTTGAATTTTCGTTCCAGACGACGGTTGTGCCTGCTGAGCCGATTCTTGGGGCTGTTGACCATTGGCTCGTTTTTACATGTCTCAGTTTAGACTGTATTTTGTTGACTATTGATTGGTCTTCTGTTGAGTTTGTTAGGTGCGTTTCTTGTATGCAAACTATGTCCGGTGGATTTTTTTAGAACCAGTTGAGGTAATTGGTCAGATTGTCTCATTTTTGGTTGTTAGATAAGATTGTTGCTGGCCCGTTGACATTCCATGACATCACTGGTAACTTAGGCTCTCTCGGTCTGAGGGTGAAGTGCTTGGCTCGGCCTGGTTGTGTAGCCTGAGTTTGTATGGTTTAGTGATGCCATGGAAGGTTGCTATGGGGTCAACCTTACATCCCCTGATACCTATTAACTTTTGCCATCTGTTCTTGATCGTTGGGTCAGGATCGTTTGTTTTGAGGAGTAAGTTGTATTTCAGTTTTACTGTCTATTCCTGAATCGGGACAGAGCCTTTCTGCTAACTTTCCTGGGGTCTGGGATAACGTTTTCCAGGTCCTTGGGACTGAGCTGGTTATGTTGTTGGCCAAAGCTATTCACCTCAGGACTTTTGTACATGGAATAGGATAATTGAAATAAGAGAATATTTATTTTTTTCCTAATACTGCTAGGATATGGGTCCTCGGCAGGCCTAAGGGGCCCCCTGCAGCATATGTGCCCGCGCTAAGTGAAGGCGGGCCTAACAAATCACGACAGGCCCTTGGCTGTCAATTTCGCATTTGGGGTCCAGGCAGTTTTGTCGCGCCAGTTGGTTGAAGGGAAACACAGTCCGAGCAGCGTGGAAATTCCCAGGCCTTCTAGGCCTTTCCGAAAGCACAGGCCCTGAGTGAGATTCGCAGCCTCATACACATATAGTTAGGAGGCCCAACCGAATGAGGCCCAGTAGCTGCACCAGAGGCGCAATATCCTGGGGCCTACAGGAAGCTTTTGGGCCCAGGCCAGTCTAGCCAGGCTGCGGAACGAGGCAGGCTCTTTCCATATAGGAAAGAGCCCGCTGCCTGGCCAGCGATTCGGGCACTCGCATGCTGGCGGCAGCGCTGCTGGAGCTAAAGCTCGTGGGCTGCTGCTGACGCTGAGCGGCGAGGTGCAGGCACGTCTGGTCGTGCAGGGAGCAGGGCGCTGCTGAGGGCAGCACCATAGCCCAGCCTCCACAGCTGGCAGGGCGTGGATGAACAGTGAAGCACAGGGGTGGTCTTCGGGTGTACAACAAAGGGAGACGTGGGAGAGAGTCAAGGGAGAGAGAGAAGGATGATGATGATGATGATGTGAGGGTACATACCTGGTCTTGGCGATGGTTCTGCATGGCAGGCACTGGGGCCAGTGCAAATGCAGGCCACGAAGTTGCACTGTCGAAGTACCTACCCCAGGGCCAGTGCAAATGCAGCAAACGGCCGAAGTCTGGAAATCCTGGGTGTGCCCAACTGTAAAAGGCCAAGGCCCTCAACTGCAGAGATGGGGCTGGGCGCAGGCACTGGGGGCCGACCAGAAGCTACTAGAAGCTTCTCAGCCAGGTCCACACGCAGCCAAACAGAGGCTGCCACTTCCATATAGGAAGTAAGGCAGCCCGGGTCTGGCATTCTGGCCCACGCTGGCAATGTGGTCACGCTGCTGCGCAAGTGGCTGCTTGCTGCGTTATTGGCCAGGGGCGCATGCGGGCGCTTGGGAGGTGAGAGGGGCGCTGCAGGGAAGCGGTGGGGGAGCAGCCATAGCCGGGCTGCAGGGCGCAAAGGGGTAAGGGGCGATCGGTGTTCTTCAGGAAGGAGGCGAGTGTGGGTGGTCAGGGGGTGATGAGGGGAGACGAGATACGTACCTGGTGCGTGAGGGAGGTCGGCTATGTTGTACATTGGTCTTCAAAGTCGAAGTGAGCCAGTTGCGTGAATGCGGCTGTAGTAGGATAGGCTAGGTAGAGTAGGAGGGCCCTGGGCGCCATACAGTAGGAGCAACATTGGATACGGCGTTGGTGTGGCCTAAGGGCTTGAACACTGGCTCATAAGTTCATTGTAACGCTCTTATGTGGATGGAATCTAGGCGCATTTATGCTCTCTGCTTGGTACATGACTACTTAGACATCTGTGTGATTTCACAACTTGGCTTTCTGTATATCGTTCTCACTCATATTCCTTGCAAATTCAATTTATCAAGAATATATTATCATTTTTTCTGCGTCTTCTACAATTTGACTGGGTGGACCCTCAGCATACTTTTGACCCCTGAACTTTGACTCTGCTAACGCTAAGATGCATTGCTGGTCTTGGCCATGGATACTGCGTTGGTGTGGCCTAAAGGCTTGAACATTGGCTCATAAGTTCATTGTAACGCTCTTATGTGGATGGAATCTAGGCACATTTATGCTCTCTGCTTGGTACATGACTACTTAGACATCTGTGTGATTTCACAACTTGGCTTTCTGTATATCGTTCTCACTCATATTCCTTGGATACTGCGTTGGTGTGGCCTACGGGCTTCAACATTGGCTCATAAGTTCATTGTAATTGTTATGATCCTGGCCAATTTCGAAGTATACATTCATCTGAAAGTACAATGCCATCCAATTGCAAAAAGAAATGAATGAACTTGAGAGGGAAGAGAGGGAAAGAAGAAGAAGAAGAAGTAAGAAAGAAGAAGATGATGATGTACTCCAGCATAGACCAATGTCAAGGCTCTTCTTCTTCGCCAACCAATCTCTTCCTCCTTATCTCCTCCCTCTTATTCAAACAAGAAATAACAATAATAATGTTGAATGACTGAACCAGAGTCCATGTCCGAATCCCACTTCTACTGCAGGCACAACATGAGGTCCACCATAGCCATGGCAACCCTTCCTCTTTCTCTACATACAGGCCGAGGCTATGGTGGACTACTGAGGCTTCAGCCTCCTGTCCAAAGGACCACTCAAAGCAGCTATGCCGCTGCTCCACTTCAAGGTCATCACCATGCAGCTATGCCGCTGCCCACTCATCCACCATGCCTGACTCTGGCCCGAACTTCCTTGATGCGGCACTACCCCCACTGGGGCCTTCCTGATGCAGCGCCTAGCAAGGAGATGAAGGTGGAAGCTCCCGGCTTCTTCCTCCCAGCAGCGCTGTAGTGCCCAGCGCTCCTCCACCTAGCGCTCCATAGTGTGACGCCCAACTCGCACACTGAAGAATGAGGCCGGGCTCTCCGCCCTGCCTCTTGATATAGCGGCCTACTTGCCTCCTGGGTGGTGACTTCCAGGCCGCTCGGCCTCTCCAAGCAACCGGTACCTCCTCCGTTTCGGAGGGAAACATCATTGCAGACCCTGATATTACCCGTACAGGCTCTAGACTCAGACTGGTTGGACTGGTACCGGCCTAGACCTACCCTACCGCTACTGGACTCTAAAAATGCCAACTTTGTCTTTTTCCGCTCGGCCTCCAGTACCCCCTCACGCCAACTGCAGTGGGGTGCAGTATCGGCCTACCGGCCCTTGAGTGTTTTTCCGCTACCCCAAGGGCCGCGGGGCCGCTAGCTTCGCCACTTGAGTGTTTTCCCCTGCTACAACCCTCAATGCCACGGCCACAGGTAAGTACCGGCCCTACGGGCCTACCAAACAAGCAAGTACCCTTGCGGGTCACACACACACTCATACCGACAAGCACTCAGTCAGGCACGCAGGTCACAAGCACACACACATAGACAGACTTAGAAAACACAGCAGAATGCAGGAATCTCAGCAAGGCATCCATTCCATTGGCAGAACTTCAGAAATCAGCAGTGTTCGCAGTCTGTGTTTTGACGGGTCATTACATAATGCTCTTATGTGGATGGAATCTAGGCGCATTTATGCTCTCTGCTTGGTACATGACTACTTAGACATCTGTGTGATTTCACAACTTGGCTTTCTGCATATCGTTCTCAGTGCTTCTCACTCATATTCCTTGCAAATTCAATTTATTAAGAATATATTATCATTTTTTCTGCGGCTTCTACAATTTGACTTGGTGGACCCTCAGCATACTTTTGACCCCTGAACTTTGACTCTGCTAAAGCTAAGATGCATTGCTGGTCTTGGCCATGGAGCCTTACACTTCTTTATTGTTGCCTGATATCCCTCTAATTCATTGGCAAGTTCAAGAGCATCATAAATTTATGGTAAAGACGAGGATGATCCTTCTTGTCCCTTTAATTTATTAGTGTTACATAGAATCCTCAGTCCCTGTCCTTAGGCACATCCATCAAAATTGGAACGATTCAGAGAGGATTAGCATGGCCCCTGCGCAAGGGTGGATAAAGTCACGAAATGAAAAAAAAAAGAAAAAGAAGAAGCAAAGAATCCTTCAATCCTCACTATCTTTTAACTGCAGGCAGTGCACGGGATTTTCTCTCGCTTCAGCACAGCGAGATTTGAACTTTTCCTTCCAATCTTTAGGTGTGTGGACACAACATCATTGGTTCTATGTAGATACTAAATACTGAAAGCTGTCCTTGAAAACGGTTGTTCTCTGCTTGTCCAAGTATATCTGTTGTCGAGGTGGTTGAATGAGTGCTGATGGGAATTCACTGTCTTACTGATGTGGCACTTATGCAGCTTGAAAGAGTGTGGGATGATGAAATTGCTGCTGAGGCGGAGGACCACATAGTGCCTGATCCGTGTCAAGCAGCGGGTTCTAGCCTGATTAGTGATTGGAGGATAACATCAAAATTGCTACAACGTTCCAATGTCCGGTTCCTGAAGAGTAGTGGTGCAAGTGGATATGGTCTTGGTGGAGTGACATCTCCGTGGGTTACGCATTCACTGCAGAGAGGTTCGTCAGGAAGTGCTGCTATTGTGAGCCAATCGGATGCAAATGTGCTTCTGTATACAGGTGTGGACAACAGTAGGGATGACAGAGGTAAAGCTGGTGGGATTGGACTGGGGGGCAACAGTTTTGTGGGCAATGTGGGGCACACAGGGGCCTCTGAGCTGTTGGCATCCTCAACAAGGGGAAGTTGGGATGACGTACCCAATTTCCAATTGGAAGCTATGTCTCCAAGGGCACAGTCCCCGATGGGCCCATGTGACGGAACCACCACATCTGATGCTCTCAGATCCACAGATGCTAATGTGGAACAGGAGGAGGAGGATGTGAGAAAGTACGTAAGGGATGATGTCTCCGAGGGGGAGGACGCAGCTGCTACGGATGCTGTCCAGTCCGGTGAGGATGGCCCTCCAATGTCAGATATGGAAATGGCGGGGTTGGGAATGGGAAGCGACATGGAGGATGGGGCTCTGTGGGAGTATGCACTGGGATCCATGAACGAGATTAGTCACTTGACTGATATGGAAAACATTCTCTTACCTGGGTTCTCACCCGGTGAATATGGAGGAAAATCGAGTTCATTGTCCGGGATGCCCTTGTGGCTTCAGTCTTCACCTATTGGGGATGAGCATGGGAGCTTATATGCTGCCATGGTTTGTGATGGCAATGGGCTTCCAGCCAAAGCATCAGGCCCGAAAATTGGGAAGGATAAATTCTGTGAGATGAGTGCTGGAAGCCATGGGGGAGGAACACATGACGGATGTCCGTGTGGACATAAGGAATGCAAGTGCGTAGGAAAGACAGTTTATGCACTTATGGAACACGACCAAGACAGCTGGATAGGAGATGATAAAGGATTGGAATTGAGAGAAGAGCCAGGGGCTGGAGTTGTGCTCAATGAAGAACCAGACACCATAATGTCAGGACAAGATGATGCAGTTTCTGGACAATGCAAGGACGGTGCTGCGGATGGCAGGAGTGCTCAATCCCAAGATCAGAGTACATCAGAAGTTGCTGTGGGGGATGATTCTGAAGTTGTTGTAAATGGGGTCGAGTCACCGGTATGTTCGGATATCTCGGGTGCTTGTCAACCTGCCCTTGCATGTTTTTGATTCCCAAGTGGAATCGAATAGTTCTAGATAGCACAAAAATCGGTCTCAAAGGCCAACCAGATTCATGTTTGCTGTTTTCAGGCTTGATGACCAGATGTGGTTTTGTTCCTTGGCCGGCTGGCATGTTGTTTCTCTTTATCCAATTTGTGGGTTGTTTGGGCGCTCAAATATCCAGAATAAAAAATAAAAGCTGTTCAAGTGCCCTTCAGGACATCTGTTAAAATTGGAACGATACACAGAAGACTAGCATGGCCCCTGTGGAAGGATGACACACATAATCGTGAAATGCTCCAAAAAGAAGGGGGGGGGGGGAAATAAAATGTTTTTCAAGTTTTCAAGCAGTTCTGGAATTTTCTTCATAAAAGTTTATATAAAGTGTGCAGGATCTGCTTGCTTGGTTGCGGAGTGGAAGAGAGATTCCTGGAAATGAATCGCCTAAGATTGGCAGCACAAGATAGGGAGATGCCAGACAACTTATTTGGTTGCGTTCACGAGAGAGCATGGGGTGGTCAGTAATGTGGCTAATGAAAGAGCTATGGTTTCTTGAAGTGTGTTCATTTTTGTTTCCATCAGCGAACCTTTCCCAATTGTTGGATTAGGGAAGCTGACTGTCCATTACAAGTACAGGCCTATGTTGTTACACACAGTCGAAGAAGAAGAAGAAGATCTTTGCTTCCATCACTGAAAGAGAATGAGCCCCCGCTCTCTGTCTCTCTCCCACACACATATACACACCCATCATCTCTTCCTCCCTCTTCTTCTTGCACTTCTTCGGCATCATCATCATCATTGCTGTCAAACGTCATCCCATCAGTGTCGTTATCCTCATCTTCATCATCGTCTTCGCGCTGTTTAGCTGGGAGATTCGAAGAGGATGTCAACACCATCATTCCATATCCTATCTGTCTGTTCCCATACCACCATTGACAGCTAGAGATCTTGGTGGTGCATCTAGAATGCACAAGAGTGTTGATGTTGCTCTCAACTCATGATGGCCAGAAATAGCAGATGTTGAGAGTGATATCCTCCTTGCGGTGATGCCTGTCATAACAATGCAGGTCTTCATGCACATCAAATGAAGGGCGTGAGTTCACATTCAGCAGGCCAGACTCTCAATAAGTTGGGCCTTACGTGGCTCTTCTTGTTTCCTCTTGCGCTCCGATTTTCTTGTCTCCCATATGTCATGGAGTCTTCTCCTGCTGCTCCTCCAGTTTCAGAGTCGTTTCCATGATCAGGTCCTCCATCGGAGGATTATGGCAACCGTGGAAAGTGAGGGAGAAGACCCTCCCTCACTTTATCCGCCTTCAGTGCCCTCATGATATTCATGGCAACCGTGTTGTTGGGGTGTCCTTGTTCTTTCCCGGCCTCTTGGATGTGCCATGTGCGGTCAGCTGGGGGGAAGATGTTGGGCCTGTGTCAGTGCAGTGCCACACCCAGTCCGGTTCATTGAGGTTATTGTCAGAACACCCCAACTTCCTTAGTCAGGCTCTGCTATAAACCATGTTCCTGGCGCTTCCTTGACTTCAAGTAGAGCATATTTGGCCATAGCTCACGGTCTTAAGCTTGCACAGGGAATATGGGGCATTTGTAGTTCCCTCTCTTTCTGCATTTGACGCAGATTGGAGAGGTTTTTGTCAAAAGTGTTGCAAATTGTGCCTTTCCTTCAAAGTTTTCATGGATGTGGAAAGACCGTACGGTTATCAGTTTTAAGCTCTAGTATTTCAGGCACTGTGTTGCAGGAGAACAGAACTCTGGGGTTGGTAAAATCAATTCCAACTCGTTCGAACTCCTTGGGCTCACGATCAACTGCTGCTCAAAACTTAGTCAGCAATTCCAAGCTGGTCAATTTGAGCCACACCTACACTGGAGGCAGGGGCACAGCCCGTCTCCGGATGATTTTCCTGACGTATTGGGTGGCCCCGATACAGATGATGCGAGCCAGGGAGGGGGTTGTTCAGGGCAGTCCGATCCGCTCATCTCCCCACCCCAGGTGTCCCATCGTCTGCAGGAGGCCACTCGTGGTTCCACACCTGCACTAGAACTTGGCATGCCCGGTGCCACTGCTGATGATCGGGTCCCGCCCAACTCTCGTCCGCAGATGGTCCTTCCCGGAGTGCACAGCCGTCGGCCTCCGGCGCTGTTGATGTGGCGGTCCCTCATGACATGACACATGCTGCTGCAGCCACAATGACGTGGCCACCTGCTGAGGAGGGCTTATCACCCACCCTCTCGAGCCCCCATCGACGCCATCGTGCAGTATACCGCGACTCTAAGGGGAGGCTTAGACGAGGGCCAGTTTTCACGGGTGCGCTAGACAGGTGGGCAGCTTCAGCTACAACTGCCGATACAGAGGGGGATTTGTCACCATACTTCCCGAGACCGGTGTTAGATCTGCCGCGAGAGGAACCTGATGTGGTGGCTGGAGGCAGGGACGGTGGACAGGCCGTTGCTGGGGAGGCTGTTGCGCAGGAGGGAGGCGTAGAGAGAGAGGATTGTGCAGCTGACTTGGCGGACGCTGGGTACTCTGCACAAGAGATCTAGGAGGTGTTGAGGGGGTACTGAGAAGGAGGCAGGCAAGGCATAGCTCAGCAGGGTTGGCCGCACACGCGACCTTTCAGCACTCTCGTTGCCACCTCCTGATCTCACTTGGGCACTGAACATCACAGGCATGGTACCACAGCCGGCTCCCATGACCGATATGCAAGTGGCCGATGGAGAGAGCAGTGGTGTACGGGATCACGACTCCCTAGGCACGGGTCTTCGCCGTCCAGTGTCACCCATTGACTTCCACATCCGTGCCATGCTGCCACTGCCTCCCAGAGATGCTTCAGTCGTTATTGAGACACTTGGAATTATATAATCAATATTAATCATGGAATAGACACAAATTATGTAAAGTGAACTTCCACTAGACTGATGTTTGGTGAACGTTAGGGACATGACAGTGCTGTGGCCATGTATTTGGCCCGTTTCTTGGCAGAGATTGCATAGGGAGATATGAACCCTTACTTTCAGGCCCTAGGACCATTCCTGCATGCACACAGGGAATCAAACTGGCACCCTTAGCTGCAAGAGCCAAGTCTGTTAACCACTACAGCCATGACACCGTGTGTCAAAGTGGAACGATATTGGTTGCCACCTGCAAGGCTGTAGTGTCCTACACACTCACACCACACAGAGCACACACGGACACAGCAGTTCTCACACACTTTGCTCCAATCCAGCACAAGATCCTCCACTGCTCCATGCCTAGTCACCACACGGGAGGCAAGGCGCTATCCATAGGTTCCACAGGAGCTTTCACAGTAGTCATAGGATCGACACACTCTGTCACAAGAGCAAAGTCTGTTAACCACTACAGTGTCATTTGGGCCCCCAGCTCTCATCAAGGCTACTGGGATGGACTCATGACTTTTTTTCTGTTTTGCTTTGTTTTTCGCAAAAGAGCTGGGTCTTATTGTAAGAGCTGGAAACGGGGTACAGCAACCGTCACAACTATGAAACACACTCACGCCTCTTTCTGTTATGGCAGAGAGAACCTGAACAAAGGCATTGATTACTTCCTCACAAGAAGGATGTACCCCTGTTCTGCCCCTGCTTTCTGTGAAGCCCCACTGTTATTGACATTGTCTGCCACCAAACTTAGATTGTGGTCTAAAGGCAGACTTACACTGACCGGGTCCTCCCTTTCAGCCCTCATATTTCCCAGCAGATTGAATGTCCAGGGAGACCCCCAGGAGGGATGACTGCCCAGGCTGTAAGAGGATTCTGGAACGCAGCCAAACAGCCGAGCCTAGGCAGTTATAAAGAAGAAGCGATGACGTATCTGCTGATGACTGAGAGCAACTTTCCTTGAACTGTCCTGCGCTCCGCGCAGTAGTCAGGGAAAGGAGGTACTTGGAGGGGTGTCGTCAGCCACCCTTGATTACTCTCTGCCCAGGTGCTCCAGTCTGTGACAACTGCTGGAACCAAGTCCAGCATTCCTGATGCAACACCAATAAGTAAACCTGCGTGAAAAAGTTCAAAAAGCCATTACCTGCCGACCCACTCCTGGGCATGGACTTTTTTTTTTACCTCGTGTTACCTACCCCGGACAAACAAGGGACCAGCCCTATTTTTACCTCGCATTACCTACCGCGGTCCGCACTCCAAGATGATTTAGGGTCTAAGACTAGATTCTAAGAATAGGGTCTAGGGCTACGGCAACTCCTCTATTCAGGGGACCAGCCTTAAATGTACTAACTAGGCCTAACTTATCCTAAGGTTATGGGTCTGCACCCACCTAACTCTGCTCTGTGTGGGGAGCAGCACCCAAGCTCCTAACACCTGGTGCGCGCTGGAAAGTGAGACCCAACACTTCCACAACCAGCCAGGAGGGACAAGCAGACTTTCGCAGTTGGTGAACCCAAAGTATGCCACACAGGGGGTCGTGGGGAATCAAATGGATGTCGTGGGGAATTGAACCCACAACCTCCTGTGTACCACTTATGTGCTCAACCAACTGAGCTAGGCCGCTTGGCCTGGGATGGATTTATGTCAATTCACTGTGGTCTTGCATTTTCAGTTTGACATTTAATTTTTTTTTGAAGAAAAACATTTGGACCATTTCTCTATTAAATTCTATTTATGTATGTCATCCACAAGGATGCTAATCTTCTCTGTATCATTCCAATTTTAACAGATGTCCTGAAGGACAGTTTTACATAATTATTGAGTGTGAGGAACAAGCCCTCGAGGGGCCCTATCAGACATCACATGATCTAGGCCAAGGCCCCCAGCAAGCCGAGTGTCCGCCCTAAGTGAAGGTGGGCCTGAATATTCGTCAGAGGCAAAATTCGACATTTCCATATGTGGGTATTCAGGCTCTCGCAGCACGCCAGTTGGTTGGATAGACGTGAGCCTCACAAAGCTGCGTCATTCAGTTGGCCCAGGCCTTGACAGTTGCGCCT